GTGAAGATGAGCAAACCCATCGTAGCCAAAGGCCTGATAGGTATCTGTTTAAATACATCCAAGCATTGCCTAAAGTTGATGAGAAGGATGTAGAAGACTTTTTCATCTCATTTGAGAACATGGCTAAACAAATGAAGTGGCCGGTGACCATGTCGGTTTTGTTGACAAAATTGGTAGGTAGAGCTAGTGCAATATATGCATCACTACCAGAGGAGATATCTGGGGAGCATGAGGAAGTGAAGAAAGCCATCTTAGGTGCCAGAAGCTCACAGACCACATTTCAGGAATTTAAAGGAGGGACCCTGGTCAAACATACACTTTGTTTGAAAGGATCAAACAAAGTAATTTTGATAGATGGATAGGGCATTAAAAAATAGATCAAACATATGACGGTCTTAGTGACAAATATTTTGGAGGAGTTCAAAAATTCACTTCCTGAGACAGTGAGAACTCATGGAAGAGCAGAGAGTTAAAACAGCAAAATTAGCAGCTAAATTGGTTGACTGAGTTAGTTTATAAATCAAAGTTTAGCTTCCAACATTAATTTCAATCCGTGAGGAATAGAAATCAGGGAAAAGACAAATCCTCCGATGGTAAGGGAAAAGTAGATCTCATTGAAGATTGCTTACTACAAGGTAAAACGGAAACCCATGAAGGGGAAAGAGAAGTAAAAAAGCTCAGGTGTTTTCACTGCAATAAAGTAGGCCACATGAAGGGGCAGTGTTGGTGGTTTAGAAAAAGCATTGGGAAGACGGATGTGGGAACACAGAATAAGCCAGTGAGTTTTGTTGAAGTGGTAAAGGAAAGCACAATGGCAGCTAAACAGCTGCACCAGAATGTACAACCTTATCAGGAGTTGGCTGAGAAGAAAGTGCCAGAACTTCTTAAGCCGTTTACTTGCGATGGTAAAGTTTACTTGCATAGGCCAGGGCAGTCAGTAAAGAAGTTACAGTATTAAGAGGCACAGGTTCCTGTCAATCTTTGTTCAGGAGATATGTAATTCAGAAGGACTATTGCCAGAAAAAGTGCTAGTACATGAAATGCATGGCAAGGCCAGAAGTGGTCCGATATGCAGAGTGAGGTTGGCGCGTCCAGTTAAAAGTGGAGAAGTGGTGGTAGAAGTAGTGGACAAACCCTTGGCTACAGGAATACAATATAGCTGGATTACAGGAGTGCTGCCAACTGTGGTTGAAAAGCCAGTGGAAAATCAGGCAACTGAGGCATCACAGGAAGTATATTCTGTGATTTTTTTTTTCCTGACTCTGTGATAACAAGTTCACAAAGCCACTGGTTGAAACAGGAGGAGAAATCAAAGAATACAGATAAGGAAGTTGAAGTAGAATTATCAAAGACCATGTTTGATTGAATGGTTGAGAAAAAACAAGAACAAGGTGGAGGACAAAATGGATATTTTCAGCTCAGAAATTAACTGAGCTACAACAGAAAGATGAAAAACTGAAGCAATTTATGGAAAAGCATACACAGAAGAAGAATCCGAGTGTATTCCTGAATGCCTCTATCTTAAAAGTGATGTCTTGTAGAGGAAATGGAGATCTTCACATATTCAGGTGGATTTGAAATGCGCAGAAGTTCATTAAATTCTATTACCAATGGGTTATAAAAAGGTGTTGTGGGTAGCACATGAATTACCAGTGGGTAGTCATTTAGGGGTAAGAAAAACTCAAGGCAAAATACAAAAACACTTTTACTGGCCTAGGCTGCATAAGAATGTAGTCGAATTTTGCCAGACCTATCATAAATGTCAGGTAATTGGAAAACTTCAGGCAGTAATAAAACTGGCACCTTTAATACCCATTCCTGCATTTAAGGAGCCTTTTACAAGGGTCTTAGGATTGTGTAGGAACCCTACCTAAAACAAAAAGTGGGAATCGAAGACAGTAAGAACTGCTGGAGTCAGAGAGAACAGCATGGAGCTGGAGGAACACGGCAGGTCAGGCAGCATCAGAGGAGCAGGAAAGTTGACGTTTTAGGTTGGAAATCCTGAAGAAGGGTCCCGACCCAAAACGTCAACTTTCCTGCTCCTCTGATGCCTGATGTGCTGTGATCCTCCAGCTCTACACTAAATGGGGCTCAGTATTTGTTGACAATACTGGATGTGTCCACAAGATTTCTAAAGGCCATTCAACTATGCAAGTTAACAGCTAAAAGGATTGCAGAAGAGTTACTCAAATTTTTCACTCGAATATGGACTAATCACAGAGATACAGACATACAATCAGATCAAGGATCAAATTTTACATCAAAGTTATTCAGGAAAGTTACGGATAGGTTAGGAATAAAACAATTCAAATCCACTGCACATCATCCAGAATCACACGGAGCGCTAGAAAGGTGGCATCAAACTTTAAAGACCATGTTAAGGGCTTATAGTCAAGACTACCCAGATGATTGGGTTAAAGGAATTCTGTTTGTACGTTTTGCAATTAGGGATGCACCAAAAGAATCGAACAAATTCAGTGGCAGGAGTTAACTTACTGAAATAGAATGTAATAGTGAATGTTTGCATGCTCAGAGTAAATGTAGGGTATATATATTGTAGTGTACTAATACAGTAAGGCTAAGGGGTTTAGAATGAAGCCATCTTTAAATATTGATGGTTCATTTTTTTTTTCGGTCGGGGGGGGTGAGGTCTGACAATGATGTCACATTAAAAAGGTTATTTTGTCCTTGGTCTTTGTTTTGAAGAGAGTTTGTAAGAGCAGAGGCGCCCAAGAGTCCAGGGAGTCACAGTTTAACAGTGGAAGGGGAATGGCTAGTTCTCCCAGTTCAGGTTTTTTTTTGTTTTTTTAGCTGTAGCAGTCACTAGATGTTTTGAGTGCCAGAAGTGTTGCAAGCTTCAGTAAAGGATTCCTCTGACTTTCTCTGGAATCTCTCTCTGGATGTTGTTCCCTCCTGCCTGTAAGAATCTGTGTTTGAATTTACCTTTCTTGCCAAGGGGTGTGTTTATGGGATGTTATTATATTGGAACTGTTAATTAGTTAAGTTGCTGTATCGGGTCGGTCAGGTTTTCCAATAGTTAAGTTACTCTAAATTCCGCTTTCTTTTGTTCATGTTTCAACTGCAACATTTAAAATTAATTTTGTTTTGCTTAAAGCTGAAGTTGCATCACCCCTGGAACACCCATTTCACATCTGCCTTCAAAATAAGAAAAAGCTAGGGTCAAGGCTACCTTCTTAAAGTATTTTGAGGAGCCTAGCCTGGTCCATAATGCCAGTTCTCTTCCATATGCTGTTCCCAGACTCAGAGTGAGACATGATCAGCCATTGTGGGAGAAAAACAGTCTGAGGGTGCAGACACAATATGAATTGGGTTGCTGGTGATCCTTTTGCCTACACAGGGAAGCCTTTTTCTGGGGTTAGGGTTATCGTCTGCCTAGTTCCATATTTTCAGCAGCTATCCCAGTGGCATCAGAACAAGACATGAATGTCTAATGGATAACACCATTTGATTCCACTTGCTAGTCGCTGAAACATAAACCGTACCTGACATTAGACACCGAAATTCATACACTACATTACTCAATTATGGAAAGCAGAGCATCTTTCTGAAATGATAGCAATTTGCCAGTGGAAAGTACACACAATTAAACATTCCATAGTGCTGGGCTCCCACATTCCTCTTCCAGTGGCACTACCTACAATGCAGACCTGTAAGTTTGGAAAGCCAACTTTTGGCTTAGAACTGTAGGCCTTACCCAAAGGAAGTGACACATGATTTTCAGCAGCTCCACAGGTGGACAAGGTCCCCATCGGTTGGATTAAACTCCACCTCTCACTCATACCACCAGGAATAGCAATTTTTACCTCCACAATGCAATATCTGATATGTACTGTACCAGATTAGAATAAAGTTAATCATTGTTTCCAACAACATAACTGTCGATTCCACTTCAAAATTACATCACTGAAGCTATAAAGTGCTTTGAGATGTCAGAGGTCATGAAAGACATTATATAAATCTAAGTCTTTCTCTGTTTGTTTTTTTTTCTGCCATAACCAGAAAATTTACTGTGCATACCATAGCTATAAGAAGGATTATGCAACTTTAGATGCAACTGAGTGAACTTACAGTACATGTTGCAAAATACAATTTAAAAACCTTTTCCTTGCTAGGTTTAGAATAATTCCAGTGATCAGGTTCACAGCATGATAACATTTTCTCACATTCTTACTTCTCAAAATTTTTATGCCATAAAGTCTGGAGACATAAATGATAACTTGCAGCAATGGAGATTGATAACTTTAAGTCTGGGTCATAGCTTAGAAGAAATAACATGGCTGCTATTCCTGAATAAAGCATTCAGAATAGTTGAATGGCAAATTAAATTCTTTCCTAATCCATACTAACCTTTACATTAATGGTCACACAGAGAGGTTAAGATGTTTTACAAACACATGATGGAAGTTACAAGGAATATTAGTCCCTAAGTTGGACAACAAGGGGATTGTTTTGCAAATTAACTAAACACCAAATATCATCTAACCATTTTATTGTAATTGTAGAGTAATAAATATCCCTCATGTTGTGCTGACAATTAAGCTATGCCACTGTAATTTCCAGTGAATAATTAAAATGTATAGGCAGTTCAAGCAACAGTAGTGGAATGTCACAACCTCTTGTCATTTCATTCAAGAACACTGAATTCCTATTGATCTACCAGGGCATGGAGGAGAACAAAGGTCAACATCAACTCCATTCTGGTCATACCAGAATGAGGGTGACAATCAGGTTCAGTTTTGGGGCTATCAAAGTTCTAAGGTTCCAGAGACAAACCCAAAATAATTTTCCAATAATTCAGTTGACACACTGTGCCACAAATTGGATCAGAATAAGTATGCTTTGCAAATTAATTTCACATTTACCTGTAATGGTGCAAGTATGAAAACAGAAATTCAAACACACTGAAGTTCTGTGATGCATTTCCAACATCAAAGCTTTTTAGAGACTCGCCTGTCAGTCATTCAGCTCATTAGAGATACCTCAATACGTGCAGAAAGTTTAGATTTCTCCTTGTCTTTTCTCTCAAGGGACCGTTTCAGCTCTTCCACCTCAGAAAGCACAGTATTACAATTCAGCTGCGCTCGGAGCTCCAAAATCTGCTTCTCCAACAACTGCTTTTCATGCTCTGACCTCCCAGCCACTGCAAGACATGAAATTTAACATTTAGGAAGGAAAAAAAAATGAGAGAACAAAAAAATCTACCAGTAATGATCGCCCAATTCTCCATAATATTATAGAAACTTAAATCAAAACTTGCTGACAAGTGCAAAAGTTTTAGGTTTTATTTTGAGCATTTTTGTAACTTCTTTAAAACAGAGATTGAAAGCTTCAGATGGAAATTGTGAAACAGAACTTGGAAGATCCTCTGAAAGTACTGTGCGAATATCTCAAAACAGAGAGATCCATCCCAGATTCCAGTTTAATCAACAATCCTGCTTCCAACAAAACCATCAAACCATCATGAACAAAGTCTATATGAGATGTGTGCATAACAATTAAGCAATTTAATTACGATAATTTGCTAAAGAAATTCCTCAAGATGTTACATTACGGGTTAACAGTAGAAAGACATCAAAACTAGCTCTGTCATAGAATTACCGACATCATCCCGGAACCTAGTACAACACAGAAGGGAGGCATGCAGCCCACCTTCTTTGTACTTGCTCTTTCAAAGAGTAATTAATACAATTAATTCCAATGTCCTAGGTATGTAATTAATTTCATTCCCCAAGACTGTAACTAACAAATCCAGACAAAACTTGGTAAGAACATGGAACATGCTAACAAAATTACTTGAGGTGATTTACGCAAATGTGGGAGAAAGATAGAAAGGAATTGCTGTATGTCCTAATATAGTCAGATGATGATTGGAAGGAATCTTGCGAAGTATAAACCACTGCGTAGGTATGTTAGGCTGAATGGCCTGTTAGGATGCAGTAAATTCTTTAATGATTTGAATGCTGAAGGATGCAGTGGGTGCAAGGGAAATGTGAGTGACTTGAAAGGGATAAAAATGGAGTAGAGAGAGATGAAGAGATGGACCCTCTCCACCAGACATCATTGCACCTCTTTCTACAATTAGGCTAGATTCCACGGATGATGCCAGTGATACTGTTCCTCATCAGCCTGCCAGTTGGTGATCTTTGGGTTGCTCCTGTGAGTACAGGGGAACAGAGTTTCTCTGGAAGTCCCTGACCTTGCATTAAGACGTCCGGGAAGGCTTCAGAAAACCCATCTTGTAGCATGTTGACGACAAAGTCTAAAAACTGTTGACTGTGTGGAGAAAGAAGATGAGGCTATCCACTTTCCAAAGTGACTGCCAAGCTACCTGTCACATCAAACTGAAATTACATTACAAGTGATATACAAGTTTTTGAGTCAAATAGCACCAATAGTAACATTAGTCACCATGTGGACATTGCCTGTTCACCATCTTCTGCCAATTTATACTCTTGTGACAGAACAGACACTTCACACTCATGTTTTTATTCTGACAATAGTATAGACACTTCACGCTCATTCCACTCACCCATTTTAATGGGGGTTTGGGAGCTGTCTGCTCACAATCCCAACACTTTCATCTTGCCAACAGTGCAGGGACTTCCTGCTCACTCCATACCGCTCCCAGTTATAATTGGGACTGTAGTCTACAGGACCCCCAGAGCAGTTGCCTGGCACTTTATCTCTTTAAATATTATTTATTCATGAAAATTCAAATTAAATTAAACCAAAAATATGCAGCAAGTCATCACTCATTGCGTGGCATAACTATGGATTCGAACACGTCAGCATCTGGTCTCTAAGAACACAGATCAACAATTCAGATGTACAATGGCCTTTCCACTTTCTAGAGTTTACCTATGTTCTAATGATCAATGAGATGTTGATGAGATGACAAACCTTTGCATTCCAAGCAGAATCCCTCCTTTTAACAATTAGCACACCTGATAATTTACATCAGAGAAGAGTGCTTCAAAATGCTCAATCTCTGCTGTTGAAGCAAAGCTAGTCAAGCAAGAAAGCCTGGTATTTATTGTCTGTCCTCTTCCACTATAGTCAGCTACTACTTCAGAAACCCAATTATTGGCCGAATGGACCGCACACTTTGCTGTGACCTCACTAACACCAATCAATAAATCAATCAACAACAAAAACAGAAATTGCAGGTCTGGCAGCATCTGTGGAGAGAAAGCAGAGTTAACTTAATAATAGATCAAATTTGAATGAGGGAGTGACTGCCTTCTGGAGCAAAGGTTCCAGGTAACTTTCCTACTCCCTGATGTGGCATAATGTTGACAGCTCAGACTCCAGCTTCTCAACTTCAATATGAAACACTTCAAACTACAAACCAGATAGATTTTTGATGACAATTCGGTTGTTTCATGACTAACCATTACAAATACTAATTTTTATTTCAGATTTAATGTGTCTTATTTATACTTAATGTCTGTGATTGGAACAGTTTGTACAATACTCCATCATGTAGGACTTCCTAACCTAATCATCTTAGCTATACTCTTCACTGGGTGAAATCAGATGAAATCAAATGGTGGCTGTCAACAGGATGATAAATTTGCAATAACTTTGAAACCATCCTTGAAAAACAGTTACGTAGGAAAAGCCCAAGACTTCAAATTTATATTAGCAGAGCTTTCAGAGTAAGTAGACTTGCTTTAAAGACTTAACATTGTTCTCCAAATTAATAGATGGTGCTGCTATGATTGAAGTAAACAATATTTAAGGTTACGATGAACTTAGGACTAGACAAGTGTAAAATTCCCACAACCAAAGTTAAGAATCAATAAAAATATAGCTAGTCTCCCCACGGGCAGTGAACAAGTGGACTAGACTCCTACTGGCAATGATCACAAGAAGGGGAATTGGAGAGGTCTACAGCACAGCAAAAGATCCTTCAGCCCATTAAGTCTACGCCAGTCAAAACAACCACTTAACGATTCTAAACCCATTTTCCAACACTTGGCCCATAGCCTCCTATGCTTTGGCATCATAAGTGCATGTCTAAATACTCCCTAAATGTTATGAGGCTTTCTACTTTTACCACCTTTACAGACAGTGAATTCCAGATTCCTACCTCCCTTGGTTGAAAAACATTTTTCTTTACACCTCCTCTAAATCTTTTGCCTCTTACCCTAAATCTTTGCCACCTGGACATTGATCCCTCTATGAAGAGAAAAAGTTACTGCTTACCTTATTAATGTCCCTCATAATTTTATACATTTCAATCACGTTCCCTCTCAATCTCCTGCGCTCTAAGGAAAACAACCCTAGTCAATCTAATCTCTACCTCTGTCTCTCTTTCTCTCTCTTCATAACTAAAACTCTCCAGCCAAGACAACATCTAATAAATCTCTTCTGCACCACCTCCACTGTAATCAATTCCTCCTACAAGGTGGATTACAGAACTGCACACAACAGCTGTGGCCTCAACAATGTTTTATACATTCCAGCGTAACCTCCCTGCTCTTAAACTCTATGCCTCAGCTAATAAAGATAACTATCCCAAATGACTTCTGAACCCCTTTATCCACCTGTCTCGCTACCTTAAAGGACTGCTGAATATGGATCTGGAGATTCCTCCGATTCTCAGTGCTTCCCAGGATCTTACCGTTCATCATGTATTCCCTTGCCTTGTTTCTCCCACCCAAGTGCATCACCTCACACCTGTCCAGATTGAATCCCATTTGCCACTGATCAGCCCAACTGACTAGCCCATCCCGTAATCTTAAGGATATCCTCCCTACTATTTACCTCACCACCAATTTTCATATCATCAGTGAACTTACTTCCGGCATTCAAGTTTTCTTGACACTCTGTTGCAATTAACCAGATTTCCTGTGATCCCATGGGCTCTTACCTTCCCTATCAGTCTTCCACATGGGACCTTATGAAAAGCCTTGCTGAAGTCAAAATTGACTACATCGAATGCATTGCCCTCACCTACACACCTGGTCACCTCTTCAAAAAATTCAATCAAATTGGACAGAGTTGACCACCCGTTAACACGGGGAGGTGACGGCCTAGTGGTATTATCGCTGGACTGTTAATCCCGAGACCCAGCTAATGTTCTGGGGACAAGGGTTCGAATCCCGCCACGGCAAATGTTAGAATCTGAATTCAATGAATATCTGGAATTAAGAGTCTAATGATGACCATGAATCCATTGTTGATTGTCAGAAAAACCCGTCTCGTTCACTAATGTCCTTTAGGGAAGGAAACTGCCATCCTTACCTGGTCTGGCCTACACGTGAGTCCAGACCCACAGCAATGTGGTTGACTCTTAACTGCCCTCTGGGCAATTAGGGATTTGCCAGCAACACCCACATCCTGTGAATGAATAAAGAAAAAAACAAAACCATGCTGACTATTCCTGATTAATCCCTGCCTCTCCAAGTGCAAATTAATTCTGTCCCTTAGAATTGCTTCCAATAGTTTGCCCATCAGAGGTTAGGCCAATTGGCCTGTACTCCTCAGTTCCAAGGAAGGGTCACCGGACCCAAAATGTTAATTCTGATTTTCTCTCCACAGATGCTGCCAGACCTGCTAAGCTTTTCCAGCAACTTCTGTTTTTGTCCTGTACTTTCCTGGTTTGTCCCTTGCTCCCTGTAGTCACAGATTTTTTTTTTGAAGGAATCAAAGAAACACAATTCCTCCCAAAGTAAAGAATCAGAAAAGTGGCTCATGGGATTCAGGGTAGAACAGGCATGATACTAAAAGGGCTTTTATTGTTCTGCATTTTATGCACATAATCCAGTCCTATTCTCCAGGTGCAATACAGAATGCAGTGGTCTTGGGGAGACATTATCCAAGATATTAGCTGCACTCATCTCAGGTGGACCAAAAAGTTCCCACGGCATTATTTTAGAGATAAAAGCGACCTTCTCTCTGATCAATATTTATACTTTGACGAATACATTAGCAAACCAGTTTACCTATTCATTATCTAACTGCTGTTTGTGGCATCTTACTGTATGCAAATTGCCTCCTCATCATACAATTACAGATTCCCTCGAGTGTGCAAGTAGGCCATTCTGCCCATCAAGTCCATACCAACCCTCAGACAGCATCCACCAGACCCACCCTATGCCTATAACCCTGCATTTCCCATGGCTAATCCACATCCCTGAACATTTCTGACATTATTACAACAATATATAATATAGTGTATTTCTGTAAAAAGAGGCAAGTTGTTGAAGCTTTCCATCTTGCACACTTCAGGGCTGAACGACAAGAATACTAAATTTCAATATGAAAAATTTATACTGCATGAGAAAAAGGTGTTGACTGGTTGGCAAGTGAAATTTGAACTATCAAATTATTGCCACAGAGAAGGTAGCAGGCAACAGTTTTTCCCAAGATTCTAATTCAAACCAGAAAAGTCAATGTGACTGGGCAAGAGATCACCATGGGAAATGCGCCAGGGAAACATTGCACCCCCAAGATTTTGTTCCGTTGAAAAAGCACAATGCCTGGATATGTTATTTTTGAACAATGCTCTGTGTGAGAATACGTGTAGCTTCTGGCAAGTATAAGTGAACCCCATTGCAAGTCTGACTGATAATCTTGAATTGCTTTTTGGCATTCCATGATTGAGCAGTATATACCCAAGTACTTGTCCATGTAAGAATTACACTAACAACCAAAAGGCAGGTGTCTTGTACCTGCAACATATTACTGACACTATACATCAGAGGTGATGGAACGAGGACTATTTAAGGTGATGCTTTGGTGCCAAACAGGCAGGCTGCTATGTCCTGGTCAGTGTTGAGCACCTGGGATGTTGTTAAAACTGAATTCATCTAAACAAGTGGAGACTATTCTATCATATGCCTGACTTGTGCCTTGTAGGTGGTGGACAGGGTTTGAGGAATTAGGAGATAAGCTATACAATGCAGAATCCCAAGGCTTTGACCTGTTTGGGTAGCCCCAGTATCTATATGGCTGATTAAATTCACTTCCTTACTCCTTCTTGTCTCTGTTGATGGAATTTTCAGCAAAAGAAATGCTATGAACATCAAGGGGAGATGGTTAGGCTCGCTCTTCTGGAAATAGTCACTGTGTGGTGAATATTAATTGTCACTTTTGGTTGTTAGTGTAATTCTTGCACGCACAAGTGCGTGCTGCTCAATCATGGAATGCCAAAAAGCAATTCACGATTATCAGTCAGACTTGCAATGGGGCTCACTTATTTGTGTGTGTGTGTATTAATTGTCACTTATTGTGTCTGTGCAATCATCAGCAAATATTCCCCACTTGAGCTCATCCCAGAATCACAGAATTGTTAGTGTACAAAAGGGGGCTGTGCAACACAACGTGTCTGCATTCGCAATGGAGTGAAGGCCATTGATGAAGCAACTGACAATGCTCATGCCTCGCACACTGTCCTGCAGCAACAGCCTGTGGCCGAGATCATTGGTCTCCCCACAACCACAGCCATCAACTCAAATTTAAAATAGGTATAAACCTGCATGAAGAAACAAGGCCCAAGGAAATGTCAAACCCCATTAAAGGATATTGCCGTGTGGAGCTGGAGGAACACAGCAGGCCAGGCAGCATCAGGAATTTCTGAAGAAGGGTCTCGACCTGAAACATCAACTTTCCTGTTCCTCTGATGCTGCCCGGCCTGCTGTGTTCCTCAGGCTCCACACTGTGTTGTTTCTGACTCCAGCATCTGCAGTTCTTGCTATCTCTATCAAAGGATATGATTTCTTTAAGTTAATTAATTAAATTAAAACTTCGACACATTTCAGAATAGCTAGGTTTAAGATATTGTAATCAAGAAAATTTTTCCATTCATAATGTGATCTATGGAGTTCAATTTAAATTTTGTCACACTATTTTGAAATTTGATACTGAAAACTATTGAAACCATTTGACTTGGTGCTTTAACCATCAATCAACTTGACCTAGTACTCAATTAATCCATTATGATGCAGGTGATAGAGGGAAGGAAGCTCATGTAGTGTAGAAGAAAAACCAGCAAATATTCTGGTAATTTATTTTCTTAGAATAATACCACCAATTTTAACCTTGGCCCAGAGTAGTAGTTTTGTGAAAACTAACTAGCATCCCATCTAGAAGGCTGCATCACAATGCAACCTTCACTTAGGATAATACAGCATTAATTAGATAAAACATGATAGAATGAATTCAGTGGAAGATCTGAATTATTTTTGCATTTTAATAACCAAAATATGCAATGTTTTGGAAGATTTGGAAAGGGCCAAGACGTATCAAAACATTCGAAAGATAATAAATAGAATACATGACAAATCTAAAAATGTTATGCTTAGATTTTGCAAAGCCAAGATCCATGTAAAAAAACCAAAATTGGATTACCAAATTCAGTTTATACCACATTATAAACTGGACAATACAGCACTGGAGAAGGGAACCTGGAGTCTTGAATGGAATTATCTGAGGAAGGCTGAAGAAGGCTAACTGCAATGTTGGGGAGGGTCCTTGTTAACAACATACTCAAGTTACACTCAGGAACCTTTTAGTTAACCAAAATTAAGATCAAAGGAAGATCAAACTTAAATAAGCAAATTAAAAGCATTTGAAAGAACCTTTTTTACTGAAAGAAATGTCTCCCAAACAGCAAGTATACAGGAAATAAAAGGTTTGAGTTTTGAAGGGGCATGTACAGTTTTCTTGATTAATTTATCTGCTCCTGTAACTTATGTATGTCTTATATCATGTCTTCCAAAATGTTCTTTCTTAAAATTAGAATGTTTTATAAATCTTATAAAGTACTGCAAGTTTAAAATATCACCAAACAAATTGTGTCTGACAAAATTCAAAATTAACTAAGCCATTTAAGCCCTTTTCTAATCATTCATAATGTGTGGTATTCATTGACAGGCCAGCAGTTATTGCTAGTCCCTGACAAGGTCGTGGCGAGTTGCCTACTTGAACCGCTTTAATCCTCATATTAAAGATAGTCTAACAATACTGTTAGGGAGGCAGTTCCATCATTTTGACCCAGTGATGACTTAGCAACAGCGATATACCTCCAAGGTAAGACAGTGTTTGACTTGGACAGAAACTTGCTGGTGATTGCATTTCCATGTGCTTGCCATCTTGTCCTTCTAGATGTTGGGGTTTGGAAGGTGGTGCTGAAGGAGCTTGGCAAGTTCATTGAATCAGAAAATGGTTACAGCACAGGAAAGGGCCATTCTGACTTGTCCACGCTGCAGTACATCTTGTGGATTGTACACACAGCAATCTGGTGGTCGAGTGAGTGAATGTTAAAGGGGTTGGACTAAAGTCCATCCCTCTGCTAAAGGTCACAATATTGTCATAGCCTCAAATTCATTATAATTGAAATCAAGTGCCGAAATGCTGCTAACACTCATGTTTGATCTGAATTTTACTTGAAAAAACTGCAATGTAATCTGATGCAGAACCAGCAAAGATACCTATGAAAAAAATGCAGTAGCTGTGGCTGACTTATCACTTACCTCCTTGATTCAGTCTGCTATCCTCCTCAAGTAGATAACTTCTCTGCTGTGATTCTAAAATCCTGTGTTGCAAGGTTGCTCGTTCTTGTTCAGTCTTCAACAGTTGAGAGCGCAAATCATCTATCTAAATTCACAGATAAGACTCAGTGGATCAGTACAGCATTACCATATTTACATTTCATATCTTCAAAATGCATGTGTTTTCTATGTTCAGCAGCAGACATGTCCAGCAGTTAAATAGAAGACTGCAACAAGTTTATGACTTGAGCAATGAACAACGGAGAAATAAAAAATATTATCTGGCATCCTCATTCAGAAATAGTTCTGAATATACTCCATCAATACAGAAATAAAATGTGACAGACGACAAATAATGGTTCAATTAAGGAACCACAGCCAGCTTCTGTAAAGCAAACACAACTGGAAGTGAACTGCATTTAAAAGTCTTGCAGTTATTTGGTGTGTAAAACAGCAGGAGATGGAATATTAACAAAAATAAAGATTTTTTTTGAGATTAATGTATTCCAGTTACAGTCAGATATAAAAAGGAAAAATAAACCGCAGGGAACAAAACTACATCAGCATCCAAAAGGGTTTCATTAGGACGCCTGACACTGTTTAGCAACTATTCGCTTTTGTATAGCGCTTTTAACGTCATAAAACTTTCATTGGAGTGGTCAGACAATATTTGACACAACCATATGTGGAGAAATTAGGATATCACCAAAAGCTTGGTCCACGTGGTAAATTTTAAGGAGCATCCCAAATGGAGCGAGAGTAGGTGAGCACAGCCGAGGTTCAGTGAGGTAGGTGGATGGGTGGGTGGAGGGGGTGGGGTGCTGTGGTGGTGGAGGAATCCAGAACTCACAGTAACAATGAAGGACAAGGCCATGGAGGGATTTGAATACAAGGATAAGAATTTTAAATCTGAGCCATTGCTGGACCACAAGCCAGTGCAGGTGAGCCAGAACAGGGGTGATAGGTAAACTTAGATTTCGGGGAGATCAATACCAGGCAGATTTCAGTGTCTACAGCTGAAATATCGAGTTGTGTTTTCTCTTCACAGGTGACAATAGTAGGCATCCCACATATTTCTAAAACTTCTATTTCAAGTTAATATAGAAATACATGAAAATATTGGACCATGACCAGCGGTGTGCCACAGGGATTGGTGCTGGGTCCACTGTTATTTGTCCTTTATATAATTGAGTTAGATGAGAATTTAGGGGTACAGTTAGTAAATTTGCAGATGACACCACGATTAGTGGTATATGGACAGTAAAGAAGGTTATCTGGGAATACAGAGATATCTTGATGAACCGGACCAGTGGGCTGAGGAATGGCAGATAGAGTTTAATTTAGATAAATATAAGGTGTTGCATTTTGATAAGGCAAACCATGGCAGAATTTACACAGTCAACAGTAGGGCCCTGGGGAGTGTTATACAACATAGAGATCGAGGTGTACAGATTCATAGCTCCTTGAAAATGGAGTCACAGGTAGACAGGACAGTGAATAAGGCTTTCAGCACGCTAGCTTTCATCGGTCAGAGCATGGAGTATAGGAGTTGGGATGTCTTATTGCAGCTGTACAAGACCTTGGAGAGGCTATATTTGGAGTACTGCATGCAGTTCTAGTCGTCTTACCAAAGAAAGGGTGCAGAAAAGATTTACTAGGATGCTACCTGGAGTGGAAGATTTGAGTTATAAAGGAGAGATTGGATAGGCTGAGACTTTTTTCATTGGAGCATGGAAGACAGAGGGGTAACCTTATAGAGGTCTATAAAATCATGAAAGGCACAGATAAGGTAGATAGCCAACAGCTTTTTCCCATGGTAGGGGAGTCTAAAACTAGAGGGCATAGGTTCAAGGTGAGAGGGGGGAGATACAAGAGTGTCCAGAGAGGCAATTTTTTTCCACACAGAGGGTAGTGAGTGTCTGGAACAGGCTGCCAGAGGCAGTGGTGGAGGCAAATGAAGTTTTGTCATTTAAGAAATATTTGAGCAGGTACATGGATGGGATATGGATCAAACACAGGCAAATGGGACTAGTTTAAATTGTGAAAACTGGGCAGCATGGGCAAGTTGAGCTGAAGTGCCTGTCTCCATGCTGTATGGAGAAAAAACCAGCATGGAAACTAGTCATTCCGTCCATGTCAGCACTCAGCCTTTTACCTTTTTGTGTAATATTTATCTGCTGGGTCCAGATACTGACGTATTTGAATCTCTGAAACCTAATTAGTTCTCACCAACATTTCAAGCATCTAACATTCTCCTGATGTATGCCACGTCAATGCCTTAATCCAACAAGATGGTGCACAACCACAGTGCATGATAAATCTGTTTTTTCTTTCCTTTCCCCAAGATCTGGAATTTATCATTTGATAAATTATAGTAAACCGAGAAATAAACGTTCTAAACCATTCTGGCAATTTGCTTAGCTCAAGATCATACATTAGTTACTGACACCATCATCTCCCTGACAACGGTATGAGACTAAACTAGTCTCTTCAATGTCATGTTTGGCCCAGAGGTGATCTTCCTATTTCCACCTCTTGTAGCATTGCTCACTTTGACCTGTGCTCAGCTCATCAGCAGGAATCCTCATTTATGCCTATGTTGCTTCGAAGTTTGGCTATTTCAACATAACGCTGACTATTCTCCCACATTCTATCCTCTGTAGCTACAAGTTATCTAAAACTCTGCAGCCAATGTCAAGTCCCATTCCCCTACCATCTCTGTGCTCACTGATTTTGAGCTAGTGGCATATGGGCTTTGGTCTGTGTACGAGAGGTTTAATGATTAACTTGTCAGCCTTTCTAGAGGCATAATTTTTAAACTTGTACATTTGAGGGAACAGCTCCTGGAGTCATCGTGAGAATCTGTTTGCATTGTGAGAGTTTTATGATCAAAAAGAATAAACGCTGAAAAAAATTATCTCGCTTTTCTTTCAGAATAATCAGGAATTATTTTTATTTACTCCTTAGTGGAAAGACCTCAGTTTGCACTGCACAGAACTGTCAGCCAAAATTACATATTAGAGTTACAGGTTGCTGTTGAAACAGCTTATGCTTCTTGTTTATACATGAAGGTCCAGCTTGTAACTGAAGAATCTTTATGGTGTTGCTACAGCAAACCTCGCTGTCCAATTTTTAAAATTGTTAGCTACAATTGTTAGTGAGGAGAGGATTTATTCTACAGCGAGGATAGTCATGACTATCCTTAGGATAAAATAGAACAATAGGAACAGCTGAGCATTAGGCAATTTCTCCAGCATACCTGACGGGCGAGTGTCTCTCGGCTTCCTTCTGATTGATCCAACTTCCGGCGAGTACGATCAAGCTCTTGTTCAATCTTAATATGATACAAAGAAAAAATAAGTATACAAAGCAACTAATATTGTTACTACGCCGTAAACCTCCTATAGGAGTACTTGCTGTGAACTCTGTGGTTCAGAGCACTGTGGATCTTTCTTTTTGTTTTGACTGGTCCCCCCGTAAGACACTTCTCTCAACAGGAAAATCCAGGACCACTGTGCCTACTCGAAGTGTTGACATCAGGCCACAATTTTAATGGATTATGTATTTCAGCTACAGGCCAATATCGTTTCCTTCTTTTGAAATAAAAAATGACTATTTTTAAATTTATGAAAAGCATCTGGCAGAACAGTTACACAGAAATGGAGATGTGTTAAGTTCTGACAATAAGAGAATATAGTGAGTTTTTAAAAAAATATTCTTGCATTTTAGACAAAGCTACTAATTTGTTCTTAAGCATTCCAAAATGCCTACAAGACAGCAATGACTGCATTCCTCCTTCATAGGAGCTTGGAACTTTCTATAATATTAAAAGGTGCTACACAAATCCAAGTTGCCGTGCAATGATTCTTCCTACAGCTCATGTTCTGCTGAGAACACTTCAGAAGGCATTTAGAGACAACCAATTAGTTGACTAATATTCTACGATGGAAATCACTGATGTTCCTCTGCACTTTTAGCAATAAATCTAATGGGAAAATAATTACTAAAGTACATGGGTCAGCCGGACACAATCCTTTTCTTGGAGGCATGGGTCTGAATCAAGTCGAGACGGGTTGAGACAAGAGTGTCTCTTCTGTCTACAGGTATGAATTGAAATTGGGCAGTTTTCAAACCAGTTACTATGGTACATACATGTGGTGAGATGTACCCAACCGGCATTAATGGCGCTATCATTCAGTAATAGCACTGGATGGTTGTGTACAAAAGTGTCTGTGGTGTTGCAAGGCATTTTCAAGAGGTCAGGACTAAAAAGCAGTGTTGATGTAGAGTTGAGGCAGCTTTCCTCGCCTAGAAGTAAGCAATGATCAAGTACTGGAAATGTTCCAATTCCGTGCACTAAGCTTTCCCTAAAAATTCATAATAAAATTATCTTCTAAAAGGTTTTTGTTCTTTTGCACATTTTTATTGACCACACAGTGTCTGGATTGCTAGATGAGATGAACTCCACTCCAGTCAATTCACATTCCATGGTTAACATTTTGGTTCAAAATTTGCTATCAAAATAAATGAAGCTCATAGCACTCACATTTATACACAAATTTCACAAATTCAAACAAAGTCAGATATAAGGTTGAGAACATCCAAAGATTGCTACCTGAAATGTGCCATCACACTGCGAGCTTCATCAAAACAATAAAAACCAAAAGAACTGCGGATGCTGTACAGAGGAAGGGTCACCGGACCCGAAACGTTAACTCTGTTTTTCCCTTCACAGATGCTGCCAGACCTACTGAGCTTTTCCAACAACTTTGTTTTTGTTCATCAAAACAATGTCAATTGATCTGGCTCATCATCGAAACAATTGAATAGTATGAAGTTGTAATATTTGCACAACAGGTACAATAAAAACTAGCATAGTCTAAATGTTCTTAATGGGTAATATGTAGTAATTACCACCAGTCAATCTCTTTGACACTCTTAATTAATTATTACAAGGGTGGATCTCATTTGTTCCAGTTTTAATTGTTGTTGGAGAAGTTTTAGGATTGTGAAGAAAATGTTTTCAAAAGGACTTTGTTTGTCAAATTTTAGTTTACACTTGCCTCTCAGTTTTAAACTGTTAATTTTATAATTCTTTAGTCTGATTGGTTAAGGAGCCCAATTTACTCGCATGCTGGACACCAGATTTCTTTCCGAGAGACATCATCACGTCACACTTGAAACACTAAACCATTTTTAAAATCTAAATGTGCAAACACAGGTCCAAATAACAACAGACATCATTAGATTAATTCCACAGGAAATTATAGGGCAATAAGTTCTATTTGGCAATTACTTTAAAATTCAGTTGAAACAATTGCCGTAAAATAAAGATAATCCCTCCAGTGATTTCACATTATTGCAATTTGTTCATTTGTGAAAGAAAAGCAACAGCAGTATCATTGCTCTGATATTCTACTTACATTTATAAATTGAGGAAGCCTCATAACTTGAAAGCTCCATTAACACAGAAAACAACTTTTTTCATTTAAACGTAATGCCAGTATACTACAGTTCCCCAATAATTCTACAATTGTGAGCTAATTGTCTGCATTTCCAAAGAGACCATTCTTCACAATCTATATTTAAAATATATATATATACTCAAGTACTATAATCATACCAATGATTGCTCAACGTGTACAATGTGTTCTTTTGAATTGGATTACATTAGAATTGTAGAATTACTGCATGAATCATTGGCGACTCATGGAAAATGACAATGCATTCACGTTGCACGCATTAAGAAACCTATAAGGTAGTCTCAAAAATTTTGACTATAATCCCAAATTTACAGCAATTTGAGTTTTAGACAACTTGTCATTATTTAACATTGTTCATATTTATGATCACTCATATTTATGTTATCTTCTCTCAGAGGGTTGCCAGTCTTTGGAATTCTGCACCGTGGAGGGTTGTTGAGTATATCAAAGGCTGAGATCAAGATAGTTTTGGACTCTGAAGAGAGTTAAGCAACATGGGAATGGAAGGGAAAATGGAAATGAGATCAAGGATCAGCTATAATTTTATTAAACAATGTTGTCTCAAGAGGGTGTGTGGGGCATTCTATTCCTTTTTCTTACCTTTGGGGAAGTACTTCTAACATGGCCTTTGATTTTAAATTGTACTCAAAGCAATGCTGGAACATATTATGTTACTAATGCGTATTTCAGCTCAAAGGCTTGCTTATTCATCAGAGTTTGAAAAGTTTACTTCTCCTTAAAAATCCCACAAGTCCATTTAATATTTTAAGCACAGATTAATAAATCAAGGATCAATTAAACAATAATTGACTATAGTGAAAGTTCTAGTGTCATAAATTTTCAATGCCAGGCTGCCAAGTTTAAGAGCGTTAGACATTCACCATCCTTTGTGGTGTCATAAACCTCTCAGAGTAACCAACACTGTCAAAAGGATTACCCATAATTGTGGGCTTTTTTACTTAAGTAGCAAGAATCCTCCACTAGTTCAACCAAAAGGCAGCATTTCACAGGCTTGCATTTACCCCAATACAAAATTTACAGTCAAAATGTCAAAAAGCAAATGTTTGCCTTCAACTGGAATGTAAGCATCTCCCTCAGCTGAACGAAACTCAAGACAGAATATTTTAAAGACAGCTAACATCTTCCTTAAAAACAATCTCTCAAAGCTTTTTCTGTTTATATTAGCAAAAGAAACCCACAATGACTCACCAACAAGTGTCAAATAATTTAATTAATTAATTTCCAAAAATTGATCTGCTAAATTTTTTTTAAAAAACATTTTTGTCCTTCATCCATTCACCCTGCCAGCTAATATTGTAATTGTTGTTTTCTACCATCTAAGCCCCACTTACTCTCTCACCTAGATATCCTCATTTCTTCTCCCTCAGCCTCTGCACTGGCTGACTTCACATCCTCAGTTGTTTTAATCTCATCCAATCTTCTTTGCCCCATTTTAACTGATTTAATTGCATTCCGCTTCTCTCTTTATGTCTCCTCCCTTGCCATTTCTTTGATCTCCCAGCATCTAAATCTAAACAAGGCTATTTCTTATCATTTCCTTGTATTCCTCACCACTCATACCTTTCCAACATAATTTCCTTCTGCATTTGTTCCAGAGGAAAAACACTCTCTGGTGACGGTGTGGCAACTTCCTAATTATCTGGTTTTTGGTCGTCCTTTGCCATAGTACTCTGAAAAATGTTAATCTCTCAATCGCTTCATTGACAATTTGTATGTCCCATTCCTTTCCTTCTCCTTTAGGTGAGTTGCAGCATTTAATGTACGAGGAGTATTTTCCAGTGCTAAAGTAGAACAATGCCCACACACCAAACACACCACACTAATCATGAAGCTTTTCTAAGATACTAATAAAGGTCATTGGGCCACTGGTGAGATTTCTGATGCTCAAAATATCCAAAGTGAGATACAAGTGAAAATATTTAGAACACAACTCAAAACGTGTGACAAATCCTACTCACCTAATCCAGACATTGCCATGGTTAATTTAAAAACTGGATAATGCACACATTACATTGATTAAACACGGACCTAGATATTGGTCACAGCTGCCCATTAATTGATAAGAGTGAATAATTCAATCTGTCACAAAGGGGCTGTTGTGGTGCAGAGGTAGAGTCCCGGGTTCAAGTCCTATCTGTTCCAGAGGTGTGTAATAACATCTCTGAACAGGTTGTTTAGAGGAAAAATTGATTTTTTTTTTTAAAAATGAGTCCATGTTGTTGCTGTGGGTCTGGAATCACAGTTCAAGCCCCACCAGGTAAGGATGGTGGATTTTCTTTTCCTCCAAAAGTACGTGAATGAACCAGATCAATTTTGGCAATATTGAGGCAGTTATTTCGTCACCATTACTGATGCTAGATATTTTCATTTCATTAATTAAAATTAAATTACCCAAGTGATGAGGTGGAATTTGAACTCAACTCATCACACCATTAGTCTAGGTCTATGGATTGCTATCCTAATAGCATAATCACTTTACTACCACACGCAAGTTACTGAAGGATGGATGACGTGAGGCTAAATAAGAAGATAGTTAAGAAATGAACTTTCAGCACAACAAGGCAATGATTGCGATTTCAGCAAGTGGAGAAACAGTGGCGCAAGTCCTGGAAATGAAACTCAAAAGTTATGAGTTCAAATTCATGGGAGGCTAAGCTAGAGAGTAGCTCATCAAAGACCTATAAAAGGGAAGGAATTTGAATGCACATAGGGAGGGAGATGATCTATCAGAGAGAGACTTGGTTCAAAATGCAAATCTGTTGAATGGGGGAAACAGGCACTTGAAGAAAGGTTTACACACCAAGAAGTAAAGGGTACTGTGTAAGGAGTTCAGTGAAGGGTGCAGAGGTAACATTTTCTTTATCAATTCTATCGGCCTTCAGCATTTGAATTCCAAGTTTTTGGAGCATGAGGAGCTGGTGAATCAGTAACTAGTATTGATACAAACTGTACATTTTATCAGTATAGTTAGTATTGTACTGCTATAACTGAAATTGCAAAGTTTACTGGAAGTGTTGAAATGTTTTGAGAAGTGTAGACTGTAATGATTATAAATATATTTATTAGCAATTACTCATATAATTAATACATATTAGAGCCAGCAGGGTACATGAACTGTGATGTAAAACTTGGAAGGTTTTGGATTCTGATGCAATCCAAGGCAAACACATCTAAGTGCTTCTGGCTACATGGAATGAATCCACAAACATTCTAGTTCAGTTCAGTTCAAAGTTACCGAGCTGCAGGCCAATCAGGAAGGGGTAAGCGATCTGAACATTTTATTCCAGGAAGTACCCACAGCCCTTAGGATTGCATCTTCCGCTTGGGTCAGTGGTCAGGGAAAGGAAGCTATGACTGCAAGTGAGGCAGGCAAGGGGACCTAGAGGGCAAATGCCATACATAGCCTTTATAACTGTTTACAATTTTCACAACTTGTTTGGGTGTAAGGGCTCCAGGAAAGATAGGCTAACAGACCACCGTAATGTGGTACAGGAAGCCATTGCAGAAGGGAGAGTAAGGAGAAATGTAGCAGGTAGGAGGTGTAATACAATGACAGGAATTGACACTGTTCTCTGCAGCAATGAGCGTATGTCCAGGTGACTGTGTTGTCCACCAGGTACCAAGATTCAGAATACAAGCTCTGGCTGGAGAAAAACATAGATTACAACATAAAAAAAGATCCTTTGGTCCAACTAGTCCATGCCAACCAGAAATCCCAAATTAATCTAGTCCCATTTGCCAGCATTTGGCCCATATCCCTCTAAACCCTTCCTATTCATATACCCATCCAAATGCCTTTTAAATGTTTTAATTGCACCAGCCTCCACCACTTCCTTTGGCAGTTCATTCCATACATGCACTACCATCAGTGTGGAAAAAGTTGCCCCTTAGGTACTTTCTAAATCTTTCTCCTCTCACCTTAAACTTATGCCCTCTAGTTTTGGACTCCCCCACCCCAGGGAAAAGAACTTGGCTGTTCACCCTATCCATGCCCCTCATGATTTTATAAACCTCTATAAGGTCACTCCTCAGCCTCCAATGCTGCAGGGAAAATAGCCCCAGCCTATTCAGCTTCTCCCTATAGCTGAAACCCTTTAGTCCCCACAACACCCTTCTAAATCTTTTTTGATCCCTTTCAAGTTTCATAACATCTTTCCTGGAGCTGGGAGACCAGAATTAAACGCAGTGTTCCAGAAGTGGCCTAACCAATGTCCTGTACAGTCGCAACACGACATCTCAACTCCTATACTCAGTCCACTAACCAACTCTCTGGGTCCTGATGAACTTCATCCTATGGTATTTGGAGACGTAGCCAATGGAGTAATAGATGCATTGGATAATAATTTTTCAAAATTTGTTACATTGAGAAAGGGCTCTGTTAGATTGGAAAGTAGCAAATATAGCCCCTCTATTCAAGAAGAAGGGGAGGCATAAAACAGGAAACAACAAGCCAGTTAGCTTGACATCTATCATGGGAAAGGCTTTTTTTAATTCACTCGTGGGATGTGGATGTAGCAATTTATTGCCCATCCCTCCTGGAGAAACTGGCAGTGAGCTGTCTTCTTGAACCACACGAGTCCACGTGCTGTCGGTAGACCCACACTGCCATTAGGGGGAGAATTCCAAGATTTAGATCTAGAAAAACTGAAGGAATGGCTACATATTTCCAAGTCAGGATGGTGAGTGGGAACTTGCAGGTGGTGGTGTTCCCATATCTCTGCTGGCCTTGCTCTTCTAGATGGAAATGGTCATGGGTTTGGAGGGTGCTTATGAGGATCTTTGGTGACAAAAGGCTTGTTTCTGTGCTGTAAAATTCTATATGCGTACAAAAGTAACGTACATCCTGCTCTTCAGATAGTCATATTTATGGCTCGATATCTTTAGAAGCTTCCAAACTGTGTGTTCCTCAGCCAAAGAGACAAATCAGTCAAAACATAAACTTACCAGGGACTTGTCATCTTCGGATCTGGAAAGTTTATTCTTCATTTCTTCCGTTTCATTAACTTTATCATTGCGTTTTCTCAACTCCTTTTTAAAAAAAATCAGAAGTTTAAATATTACAAGTTACAAAATTCTGTTAGAATCTTAAAAAGAAAGACAACAGAGCACTTCCTTTTCCAAAGGATTCTAATAGCTACATGGAATGAATCCACAAACATTCTACTATAAAGGAGAGATCAAGTTTACACTGTTTCATAATGACAGAGATTATTTACTTTTGGCAGCCGACCCTGGGACATGTTTGTGCCCAGACAGTGCAGACATGTTGACAGTATCCTGCCCTGAAGCATAGTCCATCTTCCTCAGCTTGAACTACCACAGGGCTGAGAGAGGCAGGCAGAGGGAGGTGGAAGGTCCTGACATTTCCACAGTGCCCTACTGGCATTCAAGTGAGGAATGCAACTGGAGTGAGGTCAAGATTCTTTGTCTCCATATCTCCTTACCGTTAGTGCAGAGCAACAACAGATGCAACAATGGAGTGCCAGCTTGTGCATTTATCCTGTAGACATGGAATGCTGGCCCTCGCTCCTGCCCATGAAGGCAGTCAGACACACACACGCCAAAGACTATATGGTGCGTATAGCACAGAACAGACAGTTACGTTGGATTACGAGGTGACTCAGACAAACCTTCCCGCGCTGCTGTGTCTGACTGCGCATTTCTATTAAGTTGCTAATTGTCAACACCACGGGATCCTCTTCTGTCTAAGGCTAAGCAGGTGCCTGATCTTCGGCAGTCCTCAGAGCGTCAGCGATTTGGAGCTACTCCTCCTTAGCCAGATGCGGAGATGTAGGAATGATGCGCTCACCAGCAGATGCTCTCAGCTCTAATCTGCCTAATGGGCCCATAAAGGTGTCAGTATATGAGCTGGAGGGGGGAGTAGGAGGAAATCTTGCTAGTGCATCCTCCACCTTTCCCAGAAGTCGGGGAGGGGATGAATTGCTGGGCTGGCCTCTTTATGGGGAAATTATGCAGATTCCATAGTGACTACAGGAGTCAAAAGAAAATAGGCACCACAAATTACGGGGTAGAAGTCCAGGCTTGTTTGGAGTACATTCATTGTGGCAGTAATAGGAGAGATGCACAGCAATGGATCATTCCTCTTCCCTGGTTTACAGGATATGGATGTTTCAGCATCATCAGATGAGCAGTCTAAGTCCTCATGGGCAGCGTCAGGATCCTCTCCTCCTAGAAGGTGTCCTGAGTGAGTGACACTTGAGTGAGGAGGAGGCACAAAGAGCATGCAGGGTGAATAGTCTGGGAGTGGGGTGGATTACAGTGAGGGAGGGAAAACATTGCATGCAATACTAAGAGTGAAAGGCCATAAGCTTTGGTAACAATGAGAAGATCATGGTTCTTACTCTCAAAGAGCAGAGAAGGTAGTCTACCTACTGTGGCATTCTGGGTATTTCTTCAGACAGTCAACACCACACAGATCTGGGTGGCAACCCCACACAAGGTTGGAAGTGTCTGGTATTGTAGTTTCCCCTGCCAGTCCTGGGGAATGAGGCACTCCTCTGAACCACCCCATTCACCCAAGACCTCCAAGCCCTTGCCTGTACAGAGGGGTGCAACTTGCCCTTGTCTGCCATGTCCAGAGCAAATAATACAAACCATTCAGGATAGTTCTGGACTGCCAGAGGTCAACCTGGGGCACATCTGCCAATCCTGAATAAGCTAGCAGTGGCAAGCACTTTCACCTGCAGCAAATGAGAGAATACATGCAGGGCACCATACGGGTGTGATGCAGTGGGTTTTGGAAGATAGTGTGAGAAAACTCATTAGGCCTCATGGAGAGTAACCTTCCATGAAATTTGCAAAAATTGATACTTAGCCGATTTCTGTTAAGATTTGGCCCTGCCTTTGTGTCTGCCTGCATCTTATGAGTGCCAGCAAGCAGAATGCTTACAAGTCAATTAACTATAATTAGCAGAAATAAAAACAGAGTGCTGGAGAAACTCAGCCGGTTTGGCAGCATCTCTGGTGGGAGAAATAAAGTTAGCGTTCTGAGCCAAATTACTTACAAACTAGAGCTTATTTTTAAAAATAAATAAATTAGGATAAGAAAGGATTATGTATCTCAGTTTAGGATGTCGCTATCTGAAGGTTGTAACCATTTATAATTCATGTACTGAAGTTACAATATGTAGGCAATGCATTTTCCCATGCACTCTCACTGGCAACCTCAAACTACTATTTTAAAAATTTCAAACAGCTTTCATTAAAGATGGAGAAAAATAATATTCTATCACCAGATGTCAGTCCTCATCACAATTTCCATGGCATCTCAGTTTTAGAAGAAAATAAAACATCCATTCTTTAGACATTGGAGTCAACATTTTAAAATAAATTCATCACAGTGCTTCTTTTTGTACAGAATATTTACTCATCCAAAACATACGTAGTCAGCTACATCAGGGACATTTATGTGACTCTTGGATAGGCATGTAAATGTTAGTAAAATGAAGGTTTGCAGGGTAGTTTGATCTTATAACAGGTCGGCACAACATCGTAGGCCGAAGGGCCTGTACTGTACTGTTCTGTTCTATGTTCTACGTTCGTTCTATGTTAATCCTTACATTGAACTCCCTTGCCTTTCAAAATTACAAAAAAACTCTCATTCAAATAACCTGATAGCTTTTCCCTTACCAATTGTGAACTTAGCAATTAGAGAATAAAAGTAAAATCAAAAGTAGGTATTCAAGGTGAGGTTGTACGCTAATGAGGACTAAGGTTCCCTGCAATTCTGTAAACATAGAATATGATATTAAACAAGTTAAATCACACTCATTTGTACCTAATTATTAGCAGCATTTCAACAGCGTTACCATCATTGATCAACTTCAATAGAACAGAAAGACTGCCAGATAGGATTCAAATTGGAATATTTCTCAGGTTAAGGTCACAAACAAAATGATCAGTGACAAGATTATGCTGCGAGTAGTACAGAGCATCAAGGAAATCATTTAGCATCCAGACTCTGGACAAAGATATTTACAGCAATAGTGAAAGGATTAATCGCACTCAGACACACAACAGTGATTGCTAATATATCATGGCACTAAATGATTCTATCAGCTAAAACCATTTTGAATGTCAGTATTGATATGGATCATTTACCACTTCTCAAAAGAATTTCTACACACCTCCAAACAGACAAGTTGTGGTAAATAATTTTAATACATTACATAGCAGAATTAAGAAGTTCAGTTACAGTTTTCTAAAGAATGCCAAAATCTTAAGATGGGAGAATAGCATTAAGTAACAAGAAAAGATCTTGTAACATTCATTCACTATGTATCGCCAGATATGCCAGCATTTATTTCATGCACCTAATTGTCTGGAAAAGATGAAGGAGAGTCACCGTGATGAAATGATGCAGTCCATGCAGTGTAGGTGTATGCACAGTGCTGATAGGGAGGTGGTTCCAGAATTTTAGCCCAGCAACAGTGAAAGCATCCCAAGTCAGGAGGTGTGAGACTTGGAGAGAAACTTGCAGCTGTGGTGTTTCAAGATGTCTGCTGCTCAACATTGTACAGGTTGTGGTTTATACAGGGCCTTGGTGGGACCACACCTGGAGTACTGTGGCAGTTTCAGTCTGCCTCCTTAAGAAAGGATAGATTTGCCGGAGAGGAAATGCAGCAGAGGTTCACAAGGCTACTGATACTGGGACTGCCCCATAAAGAGAGATAGCCTGTATTCACTGGAGTTTAGAAAGGTGAGAGGGAATCTGATTGAAACCTATAAAATTCTAACTGGGTGGGACAGACTGAACGAAGAGAGGATGGTTTCCCTGGTTGGGCAATTAGAACCAGGATCACAGTCTCAGGATACAGAATAAACCATTGAGGACTGAGATGAGGAAGTATTTCTTCATTCAAAGGGTCATGGACCTGTGGTATTCTCTACTATAGAAGACTGTGCAGGCCAAGTAGCTGTGGAGGTCAAAGTTTCACCTTTGAATTGAGCATGCAAGCAAAGATTATTCGCCTTAGAGTAGAAAAGGTTAAGTACAGATTTAATGGAAACACGCAAAAGATTTTCACAGCAAGTACACAGAAACTGTCACCAACATATCAATAACTAGAGGAGAGAGTGTTAAGATAATTATGATCTGGAAAGGTCTGAAAGGGTAATGGTAACACATTAGCATTTCCAGTAAAATGGAGGGGAGTAGAACACTCCAGGCATGGCTTGTCCGCTTCACCTGTTCTTTCTCATTTTTTTTCTCTCCCTCTTTTCCTCTCTTGGACACTCTGCCTCGACACCTCGCCCCAGCCTCTGACTCTCAGCCTCTGAAACAGGAACACCAGCACCCAGCGGCCTGGAGCAGAGCAGGGACAGCAGCCCGGCGGGGAGTACAGAGTGCGGCGGGGGGTACAGAGGGACAGAGTGCGGCGGGGGGTACAGAGGGACAGAGTGCGGTGGGTACAGGGTGTGGCGGGGGTACAGTGTGCGGCGGGGGTACAGTGTAGGGCGCGGCTGGGGGTAGAGAGGGCGGCTGGGGGTGCAGAGGGGGGCGGGCGTACAGGGGGCGACGGGGGGTACACGGTGCGGCGGGGGGTACAGAGTTTGGCGGCAGCGGCCCAGTGTGGAGCACAGCGGCATTCGGCAGTCAGACCATATGGTGGCCCCTTGTGGAAGTCTGCTGCGGAGAGCCCTTGGACAGAGGCTGCGATGTTCTTTTTTTAGTCTTTACTTCTTGTTGTTCTGACATATAGTTTATAGAATCATTAAATCCCTTTGGCCCAACAAGCCCACACCGACACTCACAGCATCCCACCCAGACCCATCTCCCTATAACCCACCTAATCTACACATCCTTGGACTCTATGGGCAATTTAGCATGGCCAATCCACCTAACCTGCACATCTTTGGACTGCGGGGGGAAACCGGAGCACCCGGAGGAAACCCACGCAGACACGGGGAGAATATGCAAACTCCACACAGACAGTTGCCGAGGGTGGAATCAAACCTGGGTCCCTGGTGCTGTGAGGCAGCAGCGCTAACCACTGAGCCACCGTATC